TGGCAACATTTTTTTCTTTTTATTTCCTTTTTTTTTTCTTTTTTTTTTTTTTTTTTTTTTTTTTTTTTTTTTTTTTTTTTTTTTTTTTTTTTTTTTTTTTTTTTTTTTTTTTCTTTTTCTTTTTTATGAACAGTTAATCTGTTAGTAGGCTATTAAGTTAGTTCAAAGCACTGAACCCCGAAGTTCCCTCAGTGTCTAGATCCTCTCTTTTCCATTCACCTTAGTGTGTATCTTAGGGAAATATCTTTGCATCTCTCTTCTCAAAAGTAATCCAGAGCTAAATGTGTCTGCTTACATGATTATTTATTCATTCATATCACAACTGGCACCCAGAGTCCATGGAGGAGCACTGGAGTTAGAAACTGCAACCTGCTTTGAAGTAAGTCACCCAGAGGCTTTAACTGGTGGAGGTCAGTGGGGGATAGGGACAGAGGAAGGAGGTGGGTCTTGAGAAAGTGCTGTGTTGAGAAGAAACTGTGTTTGTGATCTCTATAACTTGCCTTCTTGACAACTGGAGGGGGATTTTCCTAATAGAAAACCTGTGAGCTATATGAGGAGGGTAATCCACTTGACCCTTGCCCTCTCCTAAGCCTTTAAGTCATCATAACATTTCATTTCTTACCAGTTGCAGGACAACTTCTCAGGATTCATTTTGATTGCAATGTGAAACCAGCATTGTTTAGCCAGGAGGGAGACCAGAGCAGGGGTGTCAGAGCAGGGTACGTGAGCAGGGACATAGCAATCCTATTTGAAGAGGGTGAGATCTGGTGGCAGCGAGGAAGATAAACAGGGTGTGTTTGTGCAAGTGACCTTATTTATTTCAGCATCCTGAGGAGGGACCAAATGTACTGCATTGAAGGAAGTCAGTCCACACACATATGGGAGCGGGTCCAGCACTACGTGGCTGGCACAAGCCCAGGCGCTGCTTTGCAGGGTGACAGCTTGGGGTTCTCAGGGCAGCTGCTGTCCTCAGCACTGGCTTTTGAGAGCTCTGTGCATTGCAGGCTGTGCTGAAATGGGCAGGGTGCTTATTCAGAGCTGGCGGGAAGGGCATTCTGCTCTTCTGCCCCTCAACCCTGTGGCAGGCACCAGCAGTGGGGGAGAACACACAGCCCCCATGGCACTGAATGGACCCTCAAGCAACTGATTCAAAATTGTAATTTGTGACTTCAGCATTTGGCCACTGAATGGCTCATGGACCAATCCTGACATTATTTCTTTTTAATACTGTATTTGTTATCCTCTGAATATTTTGGGTGGGTAATTATCCAGTGTGTGTATGCTGTGCAATAGCGTGTATTGCAGACCCAGGAATATTTGCTTTGGCTTTTCTTCCTGGTTAGTTAGGGTGTGCGGTTTCTGGCCTAGATCTCATGGCATTGTTTCTGACTACGTAAATGAAATTTTTATACAAGAGAATAATGAATACAGACCAGAGAATAAGGCACATCCTGTGGCAATTTCACAAAGGCAATTTTTCCTGCTAAAACCCTTAAGGGGCTCAGCAGTTGTGATTATTTACACATGTACTTAATGGCTGTCCACATATGACTGATACAGGTTAACAGACACCTAGTAACCAGAGGCAGCTGTGTTTGGTGGGTGCCTTGAATCATCCCTGGTTTGTCTGTTTTCTTTCCCTCTCCCCCTTCCTGTTTGACTATAGAGGCACTTCTAAGGATGAGGAAGAAAACCTTCATTTAAAACCGCATGAAACCGAAGGCTGGGTGTAACCAGCTTCAAATCCAGACAAGAGTCAGCGTGTAACTTCATGTGTAAATGTTTTCGTCATCCAGCATATCATATGGATGGGGTGGCCTTTTAAAACACACAGAGAATTGCTGCCACACATGCAGCAATGTGTGCACACATGCACACACCCCTTGGTGTACACAGACTTTACACTGCACCCAGTTTGGCTGTGGTGCCAGCAGCAGCCCAGCTGTGGTGAAGAAAACTCAGCCTGAAT